ACATGTGTGTCTGTATGTCTGTCTGTGTGTGTCACTATGTCAATCTGTGTGTCAGTGTATGTATCTGTGTGTGTGTCAGTAAGTATGAGTGTGTGTTTGTGTGTGTGTGTCAGTATGTCTGACAGGATAAGTGTGTGTGTGTCAGTATGTCTGTCAGTGTATGTGCCTGTGTGTGTGTCAGTGTTTCTGTCAGTGTATGTGTATGTGAATGTAGCAGATGGCACCAGGCGATCCTACAAATATACTGTACATAACTGCATTCGTGTATCTGCTGTGTTTTATATGTGTTAAAAAGAATTGTATTCCTCTGATTGTTCGGTAGTTTCATTCCCTTAGTTTATTCGAATGAAACTACCGAACAACCAGACCTCCCCTGTGTGAAGTGTGTCCTCAATTACCCGTTGCAACATTGTTGCGAACGGGTAATTGAATAGTAAGTAGCCGTCCTTTGTTCTCGGGGGTGGCTGCCATTCGACAAACGAACACGTGGCGGCGGCCATTTTAAAACTCCCGAACAGCGGTGTTTTGCCGTCGAGTGTCTGGAACTAAAATCGGACACTCGAGTAGGCGAACACCGCTGAGACCTCCACAAACCTGGTCCGTTCGGTTCCAAACTACCGAACGGCCCCTTGTTCGGTAGATAGAAAATACCGAACGAGGGGATTCAGGCGAACCCTCCCTAGCCTCTATAGCTAGAGGCTTTCATGTATTTTGTTCCCTTATGCCAGGACCGACCGCAGGGCCCATTCGCATGGAACCTTATTCGGCTATCTCAGTTAGGGCGGTCGGTCGGTCATTTTATTCCCGCCATACATTTCCCGAACCCCTGGTCTGATCTGGGTGATTTTTGGATATGTTGTTCACCCAGATCAGGGGTATCCGGGGATGTAGGATTTAAAGAGGTACCCCTACGTTTAGGGGTACATCCAGAAACGGGGGGAATTACTGTACTGGATAAGGGGATTATGATGCTGGCTGAGGGGAGGAGATGTGTGGGAGGTTACCAGGACAGGATTAATGATTGTAAATCCCTCCCTTGCATGGGAGCATGCTTTAAAAGGAGACTGTGGATTAAAGCTTTCAGTTCTGCTCCTGAAACTGTGTGTCGTCCAGTTATTGGGATTGCTGTTGGGATATTGCTGTATTTTACCTGCTGGAAGCCTTGCCTGTGGATTTACTATTTACTTGTTCCTGAGCCTCACTTGGATTATAAGCGGAGATAACCTGGGTAATATTGCATCTCCGCTACAGTGAATGTGTGTGTCAGTATGTCTGTATATTTGCTTGTGTGTATGTCAGTACATCTACCAGTGTATATGTCTATGTGCGTGTCAGTATGTCTGTCAGTGTATATATCTCTGTGTGTCAGTATGTCGGTCACTGTATGTGCGTGTGTGCATGTGCATCAGTATGTATGCTCCCAAATAAAAGAGTTATAGGGAGTGGTACAAACCTTTCTTGGGTCTACTCTACATGTCCTGATGCCACTGACCCCTGGAGCTCTCCATTATATTTTTCCTGTATTGCCCCTAGATGGTGCCTAGGTCTTTTCAAATAGTTTTGAAACAATAAGAATGTCCAGCACAAACCTTTAAGTCCACAGATCCTTTATTAATGTGACAAAACAGAAAGGTGACATTTCAGCCAAACACAGCCTTTGTGTGGCTGAAACATCACCTTTCTTCCTTTGCACCTTAATATAGGATCTGTATATTTAATAGTTTGTGCTGGACATTTTTATTTTCTCTATGCTGTTGTTGGCTGGGGCAGAACCAGGTTTCGTACACCTATAAATAACCAGAGTCTTCATTGTATATTTTGCTTTTTAAATGGTTTTGGCAGCTGCCAAGACCATCATTTTCAATTGCAACTAGTCTAGCACTGTGCCAAACTAGGTAAGTCTATGTTTTCAGATTGGACTGGGTTGGAGAATCACAATATAAGGAGTGCAATGTGTTTCAATTCTTTACATATTGGGAATCCTAAATATACAATCTTTAGACACCCATAATAAACCTCTCAATTGACAAACATTTCAATTTACTAGATGATATTATACACGATTGCTCTACAGGTGACCTCCAATCTGACTTGAATGACAGGTAGGGATGGATGCACTCTTGATGGAGCTTTGACCTGGCTATTGCTTTACCTTTTCACTTAAATTTTATGAGCATAGGCACTTTATATAATTATTTATACAAAACCAACCATATCAAACACAGTATCAATTGATTGTTTTGTTGGATTACTATCATTGTTTGCTTTTTCTTTCAAATGTCTTTTAACATCACTATGGCCATTTGCAGTGCTCAGTTATGTAACTCCAGCAGCCATGATCCTTTTTATTCTGCTTAAACCTAAAATGTTTGGGGGGAAATGAG